ATGCGAATCTCATTAGTCGGATAACCAGATAAGTCACATTTATTGAATATTATAGTTCTAGTTATCTTTTGAGCGCTTTTTGGCATAAGTTCCGATAGCCTGAAGAAACAAGGTAGATTCTCGTCATTTTCATGTATTATTATTATTATTATTATTATTTTACTTTCTTTGATTTCTAGTGTATAATCATTTCTTTTCTGGTCCCAACTAGAGACCTAAGGTCAGAAATGACAGCATGAAATTTTCCACTGAGCATTTTTGGAGAAAAGAAAAAACGAAACAAAAGAAAACCCTAATATCAAACACATTTTACATAGATAATGCCATCCGTAAGATGTGGGCTGTACTTGTGAGTACAATTCTTTTGCATTCCTTTAAGGCATGGACTACCAGAAATCCCTTCATTGAATCTATCGGAACATTTTCCAATCAATCCGAGGGTTCCAACTACAAGTGGAATTGTGGATATCATCACGTGACAAGTTTGTGATATTTCGAATTCAAGGTCATTGTATCTTGATAGTTTTTTGATGACCTTCAAAGATACATTACAGTCTACAGGGACTTTCATGCCAATAAGAAGACACATTTCGATGTTGTGGTCTCTGATCATGATGTCTCCGTGATTAGCTTTGATTATCCTAGCCTAATTGTAGTAATTTACAATTTTCAAATTGGCGAAATTGAATTTTCTTTTTTAAATTTTACTTAACGCACGATTTTTGAAAAAAAAGTGTTCAGAATTTGGTTATGAAGAAGAAAAATTACTGAAATAAAAATGTGATTTTAAGTTGGGCAAGAATGGATAAAAGGAATACACTAAAAGGGACTTGAATTTCGCTGAAGAAGAAATGGAAAACCTGTCGCCGTCATCATCATCATTTATATTTTATTAGGTACCCATTATATTTTTCGGGACTATCTATTTTAAGGAACGCTCGCCCTTTATTCTAACTCCGGTTGTAAGCGTTGATTAGGTCCTTAAACACTTGATAAAGTTATTGATATTACGAAGACATCTCCCACAGATACTACCACAGGCTCTCTCGTCGCTGTTGCTATGATTTATTGATGTCGTTTTTCAAATATACCCAGGTTTATAGTTTAATGTACTTCTAACTAAAAGGGAAAATAACTGCTATAGCGATGGCTCCACTTGTATCCTTATGTCGTAATAAACTAAGCTTCATCAAACCTTATAGACTGGCGCTACAAAACCAGAAACAAAGATTTTTAACAAATAACAAAAACAACATCGCTTGAATACTTTCAATAGAAGCCACAACAAAAATGGATCGTCCATGTACGAGTAACTTGGAGGGAAAATAATCATACCAACAACATGTTGGTTTTCCACACTAGCAAATCCAAAAGTTTGGAAATAAATTCTTATCGATACTAGAAAGAGCAATAACAGTTACGTTTTCTCATTTTTTTTCACACTCAGTAACACCTTGAAATGATTGAAATAATAATAATAATAATATTTAAAATTAATATTTTAAAATGCGTAATATTTTTCATCATCAAATTATGCAGGTTAAATTTTTAAAAATAAGAACCTTTTAAAATGTTATTTCAAAGTTTATCTACTTGAATTCATATTTGTCCACCAAATCGCCATCTAATGCTATTAAATGAACAATAATACAACTGTCATGATTTAATAACCAAAACAAAAGGTAAAGGTTCATTAATGAAGTAGACATGCGGATAGACAACTAAATTGTCGTCAAATGAGACTGTAGCAAAGCCCAGCAGGGATTAAAATATTTAAGTATATGAAGTAATGAAAAGAGAAACATGAGACAATGAATTCGGTATGTCAGCTTATGGAAATTTGGCCTTTGTAGAATAAATAACTTTATTTTGCTTTCTAATTAAACTCTGCAGGTTTCGTCAATGAATGGACCAAGCCTCATTCCCAGCCTAGAAAGAAAGAAAGAAAGAAAGAAAGAAAGAAAGAAAGAAAGAAAGCGAGAAAGAGAGAAAGAGAAAAACGAAATAAGAAATGAAAAAAGTAAGAGAAAAAAGAAAGAAAGAAAGAATTAAAAGAGAAAAACGAAATAAGAAGGAAATGAAAAAAGAAAGAAGAAAGAAAGAAAGAAAGAGAAAGAAAGAAAGAATTAAAAGAGAAAAACGAAATAAGAAGGAAATGAAA